CCTTTCGAGCTACTTGCCATCGCCTAATACCTATCTTCCATACCAGCAACTGAGGCTGATTGAAAATAACTGAAGTAAAATATAAGCATACAATTCAATTGAAATTCTATTTACAGACTTCAAATCTTGATTACGTTTTCTGCACTATAATATAGCTGCAATCGATGTATTATTTGCTACTGACAGACGGACATGGCTAGATCGACTAGACTATTGATAGGACATAAGACCATTATACCCATTTGCCCATTTGAAATGTTTTGAAAGATACAGCCTTGATGTTCTAGAAAATATTTCTCCAAATGTAACATTCCCGACAGCTATGGATATCACATATTTCAACAAACTAACAGCGTGTCTAATTGGAAAAGCCTTCAATTTTGGAGTTTTCACAATGGTAAATCACTTTTAAAAGTGCAATCTATACATAAAAGTAAATTGAGAGCTCTGACTGGCTGGTTGACAGATTAACACGCAAATTATATCGTCAGCTTTGAAAAAATGAAGCTGCTAAGAGCACACAATCCTTCGAGATCCTGTATGGGTGAAATGTTATAGTATATCTAAAATCTTGTATATGGTACAAATTGGGTAACATAGGGTATTTTTAATTATCATAATGCAGCTATTGCTGAAAACCTTAATTGAATGTTATGCTTAGGTTCTTTCCTGTTTTCTTTTTTATCTGAAAAAAGTTGCACAACTGGTTCGAGTCCTTATTAATAACTGGTTAAAGACTATTATTTTCTGTTCGCTGATGACTCGATAACGCGTATAAGCACCTTGACTGCAATTAAGTTGGCAAATATCGGTGGACAGCCAATAAATGATTGTTGCAAAAGCCAACTAACCTGATGTCGAATAAGCCACAATTAACCAACAAAATTTGGGGAAACACCCCACTCATTGTTCGCTCTCACAACTGGCAATCAATTTCTCGCGCTGTAAATTAACCATCTGACTGGGACCTGGGACAATGGCAGCTGCTAACTGCCCTGTTCGGCCGCGTGGGGCGCGACTGGCGGCTTATAGCCCCCGCACGAGTCCCTCGGCTCGCAATCAAAGCACATTAATATGCACGAAGACCATAAACAATGCAGGGGAGCAGGCAGGGCTAGGCAGGGCAGCGGCAGCGGGCGCGGGAGCGGGAGCGGTAGCGGGAGGATATGGTGTGAGAGGCGTTACAGCAGCAATCACACATATATAAAGCAGCAGAGCAAACGCTGCCGCCAAAGAAGCTGTCTCTCTCCCACTCTGGCTTGTATTTGCCTCTCTCTTTTGCTCGCGGGCTGAACTCAACTGACAATATTTATTGCAAATGCAGCAATAAATTTCAAAACACCATTCGCTAAGCACCACATGGGGTCTCGAAAATTGAAGATAAATTTTAAGGCGGCAATTTATGATTTGTGAGCATAAGCATGAGCCTCGTTTCAGCCTCCGTCAGCCCAGCAGCAGCCACAGCCACAGCCGCTGCCGCAGCCGCAGCCACAGCCTCGACCCCGTTGCCAATACCTGGTCGGTGCCGGTGTTGGTGCCGGGGCCCGGTGTCTGTATTTGAAACGGCGAGCTCTTGGTTACCCAGACAATCAGTAGAGCCGCTGTTGACAAGTGTGGAGTGTTTGCTGCCGCACTCCTTCGCTCACGACTGGGCACAGTTCCTTCTCCCGGTTACGATCTGCCCGTTTTTCAATTGTGTTTGCCGCGATTTTACTGCCCGCTGCGCCTTTGACAGCCACACCGAAAGCCAAGCTGCACGCGATACCCTTCCTCTCTCTCTCTGGCACAGCTGGGAAGTGAAACTGGCGTAGGGAATTGGATTTGGGCTCACAAAGGTAACTGAAGTATTGTTAGACAAATTACTTTTACCAGAAGTTAAGCACTAAAAAGTTTAACAGAGCTTTTAGTTATACGAGTATAACTTACAAATGAAAAATCAAATTTAATTCGTATTCTTTCATGTAATATTTCCTATAATACATTAAGACAAAGACGTTTGGACGTTCCTACAAAAATGAAAGGAAAATATTAATAGATTTTGGTGAATTTTAAAACTTTGTTTATCGAATGTACTATTTTTAACGATATTTAAATTCTTTGTAAAAGTTCTAAGACAAAAATTAATATTTCGTATATTACTAAAATGAAAATTTAAATGGGACTTGATAAAAATGTCAAATTCTCAAAAATATACACTTTTTATTACAGAGTATAAAATAAATAATAAATAATGTGCTTCTAAACTGTAAATTTTATGCAGTAATATTTGTAAAATCAGGAAGGCTTAAAGATTTTTCGATATATAATCCATTCATTAACAATAATTTTTTTGATAAAGCTTAACAGAGTTTTCAAAATTATATCCATATAGTTTCTCATGGGTATATTTTTTAGTAATTTTAACAACACAAGGCACCTCAAACTATTTTGTAAACGAAGTTTAACTATGCTAATGGAATTTTGAACGTACTCTCATTTAACTAGTCTAAATAATATGTATATAAAAATTGCAATTTTTTTATTATATTCTGGATAAAGTTTGCTGTTTTTTTTTGTGAATTGTAAATTGTATGCCTAACATTTCTATTAAATATCTATAGCACTATGTTATGGGTTGCGAGGTAAGAAGCAGCACATCTAGAGTTCTATTTGTTCCAACGGGACGCGGTCAGAGATAACTCTCTTACCCAACTACACTCGCCAAGCGTTCCCTAGGGGAAGCCTATAATTGAAGCGAATCCACTCTGCGGCGGGTTTGGCTTGCAACACCATGTTGCAATTATTCACTCACTTGCGCGAACGAGGTCTCTGTGGCTGAGGCCCAAGCCGCTTGCAATCCTCGCGGCATGCAAACAATCCGCTTGGAGTCTACAGCAGCGAAAAATGGGCAAAAGCTTTATGAATGCGCAGATGAAAAATGAAACATCGTTAAGAGCAATTCATAATGAAATACGCGCCAAGTCGCATCGTGGGGGCAGAGCTGATCTACGGACGAGCTCGGGTAGATATGGATTGGGTCTCGGACTCCCTCCAATAAGCTGCGCACAGGCGGTCGGCCATTTGAGCATTTCTGCATCTTCTGCTCCGGACTTAAATCAGCATTCAAGTTATGACTACAAGCAGGATATTGGGTTAAAGTTGTTTTTGGTTGCCCATAAAGTTTGATGCCGCCACAGCTGATTTCAGTTCTCTGTTCGCGGCAACGGCCAGCTGGCTGGCCAGGTAAATAAAGCTGTTGGAGGCAACGGCATTTCAATAAGCACAGCACAGACCCGAAACCGAAGCCGAAACCCCAAATAGCAGCAACCTTATCAATAATTTTTTCATACGAGCATCCCAGCGATAGGCCATAAAAAGTCCACGACACGAGTCCAGGCCGTTGTCCGTCTGCAGTCGGCCGTCGAATGGCTAGGGAAATTTATAGAGTCTGTTGCTTGGGCTGTCAGGTGAAATAAATAATAAATTCGTTATATTGGCCGACAGCAGCGGCTTTCAACAGTCAACAGCAACAGCAACAGCGACTGCAAAGGCAATAGCCACAGCAACAACAATATCAACTGAAAGCGAGGGGCGTATGATGAGGGCACGCCCACATTGGAGTCATTCCACAGTTGTGTTGCATGCCCCACAGCCAACAAATTTGAATTCAATGAGAGATGAAATCATTAAGTTTGCGGCAATTTGGAGGCTGCCCTCGCAACTGCGACTGCAACTTCGGCCAAGGAGTTCTTCAGTCGTGCTGAGAACGGCGAAATAATGTTGAAAGGGCTGACAGAAGAGAGTGTAGATGAGTTTGGGGGCGTTGTTATGAAATTAGCTGTGAGCCAAACGGGCTGAAATGTCTATAATCTGATGGCATCAATTCCAGACCAAAAACTAAATAGTTAAATTGAAAGAAAACAAATCTGCAAAAATTATACCAGACTATTAAAAATATATTATTTATCCAATTTTGCATTTATTGCACTGAGCTCCAGAGGCAGTTGTAGGCGACTTATAAAGGGGATCTATGTGCCTTATGCATCAAAATAGCGGCTACTGGAGGCCATAATAAACTTCCCATATTGCATAGCATTGATGCCATGCTATGGCCCGCCTAATAAATATCAGCAGCAGCGGGGATTTTCCCGAAGAGCCGAGGCTGGCGGACAACAAAAGCGCACATAAATCAACGATCAAGACAATTGCCCTGTAATAATTTGAACTTCTTTAAGTCGCAAGCCAGCCCATACTCCAACCAGCCAACCTCAGGAGGAGGCCATGTCGAGAGGGGCTCGAGTACTAACATTGAGACCCAACACCGATCTGGCGGCACATAAAAATAACAGCTTATCGGCGAAGAGAATCGTGTCGTAGCACGCCTACCAACTCACAGGCATTAAAATATGAAACAACAATTGCAAACCCAAACGAACCGAACCGAACCGCAGCAAGTAGTGCTGAGGGCGGGGACTCCCCCCAGGTGAAATCAACAGCAGCAGTGGTCGGTCGGCACTTTTGGGACGGGCTGTGTGCCGTGTGGTAGGCGGCAGCCATCGGCAGCGGCACGTTTTCAACGTTTGCAACGGCTTCGTGAAATTCCAAACTTCCCCACCCACCACAGAGCCACACGGCATCCAGCTTAACGAAAGATATATAGGTGTATCTGCAAAGCGCCGACTAAAATCACCATTGTTCCCGCGATTCGCCGCAGACAGTAGGTTACAACTTACTCGACAATTCGAATTGCATGCGATATCTCAATTTGGAGACTCATAAAAGGCAATAGGATAACAGCGAAGACCAAAGTGAACCTGGCAAGTCGATCGCTGTGTACTCTCTCTCATTTAGAGGTGTGCTGTTATTCCTAATGCCCTTTGCCAACGATTGTTGAAGATGACTGTGTGGGGTGCTACGACTGGGGGGGTGCTACGCTTTCTGATAAATATAATCTAGTTGATCCATAAACTAGCGACAACAGTTGAATCCGTTTGCGACATAGTCAACCGGGCGCCTACAGTCGATACAAGATTTGATCTCTTCCAAATATTAAACACAATCCGTTTACACAAAAAGGGCTTGGAATACAAGTCTGAATGTTTATGTTATATATTGTTGCTAAATTTATGTGACTGGCAGGATGGCCTGCAAGCAGCCAACCTCCCAACAACTGGCGTACCTGGACGAGCTGAAGATGCGTCTCCAGGAGCTCCGGAAGCGCCAAGAGACATTTATGGAGGAGACTGCCCAGATTTTGCGGAACATCAGCACTGATCGGGCAGATCCATTAATGGCGGTCCCGCCATTGGCCCCCATGGAGGTAGCTCAAAAGGTTGATGATGAGGAGTGCGTTGGTAATATCAAGCAGTTGATTCAGCGTTTCGAGGATCTGCGACAGACATCTAGGCAGTTCAGCGACCAGCCCATGCCCGAGGAGCTGGTTGGCGTTGATGTGAGGAAGCTGCTTAAGGGCTATGAGAGGCTGATTGTGGAGGGTAACATTCTGCAGAAGTCGTGGCTTCTACTGAAGAAAACAACGGAAAGCTGTGCGCGTCAGGGCAACAGAGATGATCAAAACTTGAACAAGCCGAGCTCAAAAACCTCTTCTTTCGCAGAGCACACAACCGGGCGTCCTAGTATCATCAAATCATCCATCTCACTCCAAGAACCCAGTTTTGGTATCGAGTCGTCTACCCAACTGGCCTATAACAACAGATCAGGCTGGACTAACCAGCCCTATGGTAAGCTATTAACTGCAATTCTAAGAAAAGCCACTGATTTCCTACCTCTTCATAACTTACTATCCACAAATTTCTAGGCAAGGCCAACAGGCAGCGCTTGGGGGCTTTTCTCCAATTGGTGCTTCGTATAAATCCGTTTAATAGATGTTCCAAGGGGAAAGCCATTTCAAATGCAACTGCTAGGCTGCCATGTGCTGGGCAACGTCCACCCCCAGTTCATCGGGAAGCTACTTCAAAAAGTAGTTCGCATAAATTAGTTTAACAGGTGATACTAGGTGCTCAAGCACCGCTGACAAGATGAACAGGAGCAGTTAACGAGGTAATAGCAAATCCTCTGCCAAATAGAATTTATGGTATAATATTTTAGTAGCACAATTGTTATCCGAAAATTCCAACCTGTGATTCAGCAAATCAGAAAATAGTTGATTAAATCGAACTCCACGCCAACGCATAAATCAATATCCACACCACACATCAACGTGTCAATATTTTGCCTAATTAATGTGGGTTGGGTGCAAGGCGCATCAATTTCGGGTGTCAAGTGCAATGAGAGGGAACTCAAAGTTGGTCCGTCCCTGCGGTCGGCTGCGAGGCGGGGGCCGACGCAGCAGAGGACCACCATCAGACGCTAATGTAGCTGTCGCTACATAAGAGGACGGAACGATGGGTCGACGTATGGCAGCAACTGCTGCGCTGACAGCGCATTTTAGTCGCTCGTGGAATACCAAAAATAAATCTTGGCATGTCGTGACAGCGAAAGACAGATGAAAGGAACGGTGGCTAAGAGTCTGATAGGCGGGGGGGTTGGGGTAAAAAGGAACGAAAACCAAATACTTTGCCCCACACGCAAAGCGAGAAGTAAACATTTAAATTTAAATTAAGTGGCTTGTTTGGCGTCATCGAATGCAGCAGCTAATGAGACTCTGCTGAAGCAAGAGAAGTTGCACCCAAACATGTGGAGGAGGGAGCTGGGCCAGTGAGTGGGGAAAACAGCATGCGAGATCTCAGCAGGAAGGTTTCTTGTTGGGTTGCCACGTTGAAATTGATATATGCCCACTGACTCATAGGTATGGATGAATGCACACAGCTTCTACGCATCTCGGGAAGATGGAAAAATCGATGGAATAGCCAATTGGCCAAGTTTCTTGAGCTTAGCGGAATGTTAAAAACTAATATGTTCTATTATCATATTAAGTATTAGTATTAACTCAGCCAGTTTCACAGCTGAACGGTTGATGTTCAACAACTCACAGTTTGAAAGTCCCCAGCTGACGGGTCTGGCTTAGGCAATATTGCGCACTTGCACCTGAGTTGAGCTGAATGTTCTATTGTTTGTAAGTCCTCTGAAGGTATGCCCATTAAATGTGTAAAAAATGACAGTTGGGTTTCGTTATAATAAGATATACCATATCTAACCCCCGAATTGCTACAATCTTTTCGAAAACTATAAAAGCTGGAGTCTATGTACAAACAGGTTTTAAGCAGATCTCGTACACAGTCCTAAATTATTTTTATATTTATTTCCCCGTTTCTCCTGAAATTGCATTCAGAATGAATCGATATGCATGTCACACGGTCTTGACTTGTAAATAAGTTTCCATCCACTGTGGAAGCTTAAATTCTCGAAATTCGCGAAAATATCTCGTTTAACTGCTGTAAATATAGAAACAATATGTTCCAACATGCTAGACAACAAGAGCTGGTTATTGAAATATAATGTTTTAAGGTGGGGAAATATAATTCCACGAGTTGCATAAACAACCACTCTTCGTATGCTTATTTGGCTGCACAAGCTTGCAGCCGCATGATAAAAAGCATGTTTGGCAATGAAATGTGGCATCGGCATCTGCTTCGATGCGAGCAGAGACACGGCTCACGAGGCATGGAGAGCTGGAGAGCTTATCGCGCTGACATGAGTGGCAAAGGCGATGCTAATCAGCGACAAGAGTCGCCACATGCACCAAGAGGACTGCGACAGCAACATCTGTTGCCGTTGGTGCCACAGCGCCTGGCAGTAAGAGTTGTGCAGCCGAGGCTGATACACGATAAAAACACTCCTCTTTTAACCGATCTGGCTGTCATATACGTGTTCACCAAAATTAAAAGTAGCTAAAACATCTCTTGTTCTTGTGTCTCGGTGTACAGGGTATTAAAGCAACTGCCGGCATGATCATTTCGTCGCACCCCGCACTTGTCGCCGACGCCGTCTTTGGCCACTTTGTTGGCGCTCAATCGTTTTGACCCGCAACATTTTCAAAAATTATCAGACATCATGCTAGTCTCTGCGGCTGAAGCGTGGCCAAGTTAGCAGGTGAAAACCTACCAAAGATGGCTATGTGGCAATGCGACATCGGTTATGGCATCGCCACATGCGAGCATTATTTAAATGACATGCCGTTGACCTATTGAGTTTAATAAAATTAAGCATATTCTTGGTCCGAAAACTATTTTGTTAGCTTCAGTTGGAATAAAAATTCCAAAATCCAATACATTCGATGAAGCTAACCGTGAATGCTGAGAGTCATTGGTAATTGAAGTAATTGAATGCGGTAAAGCTTAGTCTATATAAGTCAGCTGTCATAGAACTTCGGAAGCTAAACCTACACTAAACAATACAATTTTATTTGACTAAATTAATTGGTTTTGAATCTGATTGGCAAAAGTTGTTTTTACTTCTTTCTTGTAATTTGTGGCTAACACTTTAATATTTCGTACAATGTAGTTACATATAGAACAAAGCAATATTTCCCAAGCCTCATTGTCAACCCTGACGTTACGACTTATCAAATTATTGACGAAAGAAAGTCACAGCTTGCAAGCTTTTCTGCTGAAAACATGATAGCAAGGTGAAAATGTTCTTCTACATCGAAAAATAACAATATCTGCAATGCAAGATTCAAGAAAGGTTAAAAGAGTTCCCGAAGCCTAGGCCCTTCAACCTGAACCCAACTAGAAGATACGCTGTACACAGCGGCTTAGCTTTTCTCATATGTTATAAGAAAATACAAAAGTAAGAGTGCTCTAGTCGGAGATACCCTTCTTCATACAAAAACCTACTTTTCGAACGATCGTTCCTATGGCAGCTATATGATATAGTGGTCCGATCCAGCCGGTTCCCACATATATAGATAGTTTAAAAGCTGAGAGACCAGTTCGCATAGAAACAGACAGACGAACATGGCCGAAGTGGCTGCTGATACTGATCAAGAATATATATACTTTATGACACCGATTTTTATCGATTGTTTGAAAAGGAAATATTTTTCTTGTCCAGGACAAGAATTGTTGATTCACGGAGTCGAATGCTATGCAACTGCGATTGTTCTTACAATTAAAAATCAGTGTGTTTTTACATCGAGATTCGATTTGCACTTTATGTCAAAAGTTAAATTAAAACTAGTTATTTCGAATGTCGGTATACACGTAGGTACATATAGAAACTAGCTGTGCACATCATTTGAAATTCGCGCCAAATGGCCAGGTCATTAATCATTTACGCATGCGGCAGCATCGCAAAACTTGATTTATTTTTGGGGGCCAAAGCAAAATGAATATTTTCTTTACTTCTTACGCAACACTGGTCACAAGATTGATGTGACATTTGTGTTGGCTCTCGAGAAATATGGCAGAAATATGGCAGCCCTTGGCAGCCCTGGCAGCTTCTGACAGCCCCTGGCGACTGCTCTTCAAGAAATTGGCAATGAAAAATTCTAGCGCCAGCCGAAACGACATTTCAATTTGAAAGTGCTGGGCACTTTACTACACTCGCTCTCTCTTTCTCTTTCTCCGTCTTTCTCTCTCTCTATCGTTCTCACTTGCACTCTCGACATGGCCGCGATGACAGTGAGTGCGAGAAATATATCGCCCGCAGCATATTTTGGGTTTTGGGTTAACTTGCTTCGCCTTCGCTTGCCTGACTGCCATGGTTGCCAGGGCATGGCAGACATTCTGGCACGCCATCTATCATCCGAGCTCCAGCTCTAAGGGTTGTTGATGGTCTCCATAAATTATATTTGCACGCGCGCCTTTGCCTTCCACTACTGCGCCAAACATTTTTGCGCAGTCTAGAGACATCAAAGGCAGTGCAGAAGGAAATCCAAAGCGCATTTTGGTAATATAATGTTCAGTTTTGGCAATGAATGCAGCTGTCGTAGTCCACAACTCATTACAGCCTTTCAAAACGGGGCGTTTAGGATGAGCAGAGTGCAGACTCGACTCGAAATGTTTTATAATGAATTGCTTTGGAAAAGCGCGAAGACGTGTAAATTATTCATGTGTAATTATCATGAATCTCGTGTCCATAAGGCTGTTTAAGACGAATTTCACTTTCAGATTTTCATAATTTTCGAATTATCCTTTTCTTCTTGTTATTAATGGAGATCATAGCTTTGGCGGGTGAAATTTCGCGTTCAAACTCATTTCCAAAGATCCAATCTTACACGGTGCAAAATGCAGGTCAAATATTTTTGGGGGAAGTTTTAGGTTTGGTTCGATCGGCCTTAAACTTACCTTCAAGCCATACATAAAAACAATTTTGGAAATTACACCCGCATCTGTTGTAAATTGGTGGAAAAGTTGCAACTTTTTTGTTTACCTCAGATTACCTCAAAATAATTTTTAAAAATTTTTGTGGAAATTTATTAAATACCTTTTAACAAAAGTTTACTTATTTTTCACGTTTTTTAACGAATGTTTACTTTGTGGTTTCAAGACTCGCACCCAAGACTAACATGGGCAGAAAATGTTTTTCCTACTTTTGGTTCCTTACTTAAAACCAATGTTGAATTATCTATGCAAATTATAACTTTGGACGACAATCTTTTCGAGGTAGATTTAAATTGTCTACTGGACGGAAATTGGTGGAAAGAGTAATATCTAAAATATGCATCCTGAAGGCAAGGTCAGGAAATACTCGCCAGTGTTATGTATGTGTATATCTTAATTAATATATAAATCGTTTTTATGGATTTAACACCTCATTCTTTCATACATTTTGGAACATTTTGTAAAAACTAAAAGCCGAAAAAGGTTGCATATAGAAAATCCCAGTCAACCTTTCCCCTCTACCGCCCACCACAGAGCACAAGTTATCGAGTTGTCAAGTGTGCCCCCCCTCATTGAAGCTGCTTCGAGTTGCCTGAGGGGGGGAGAATGGGGTTGCGACCTGCACACACGAATAAAATGGCCACAAAGTCATTTGGGCTGCTTAAAAGTTGATTCGAAAAGTTTTACACCACACGCTTGTGGGATGGAAGGGCGTCGGGTGAAGGGAGGTTGGGTGTGCCTACACAGGAAGCAGCAACGGGTCCTGCTTCTTGAACCGACCGCCGACGTCGACGCCTCTGACAAACACACAATTAAGCACACACACACACACACACAATTAAACCGACTTTCACACACACACAAGCACACGCACATACAACCTGCCAACGTCGTCGCCATACAATTTCCGCAAGTCGTAAAAGACGG